ACACTCTTAATAAAGATTCCAAATGTTGGTTTCACAATTTTGGGTTCACTTTCAGTGAACAGTTCTTAAAGAACCGTTTTTCTTAGTGTATCCACTATAAAGAACCTTTTGTGCAATGGAAAGATTCTGTGGAAGTTAAAGGTTCTTTATGGAACCACAGATGCCAATAAAGAATCTTTATTTTAAGATAATATTTTTAAAAATGGGTCTTTTGTAAAGGGATTATCATATAGGGCTACATGGCATCAAAAAGCTTGAAAACCCTGGGTTTAACTGACTAGATAATTTACCATCAGAGAGAATGAGTAATACCTGCATTAAAAATCTTAAAGCAGAAGAGTTGCCCTCCCTCTGAATGAGATCCCACAGGACAGGCTGCTGGGGAGAAAAGCCTTTGAAACTGAATGCACTGAGCTAAATGCATGGTAATATAATAATAAAATACTAGCATGAGAAACTATGCAATATTTAAATGCATGACATACACTGAAACAGCTCAAAAGATCTTCTTTTAAGGTGGAGTTCTGCTCTCTCTTCAGGAAGATGCCCACAGTGTGAAGTACACTTGTTGATGCATCGGGCCGTAGAGTGGCCCAGAAGGAAACATTGTCCTGGAGGCTGGACAGAAGAATGGCCTGACCCAGGCTCTGACGCACCTCTTGTTGTCCCTCCTCTAAACCTTCCGAGAGCCCCACCACAAAGTCCAACATTCGAAGCACGTAGCTCACCGTAGCTAACCATCCCGTGTGTTCATCCACTACTCCTTCACATAAAGTGAGCTTATGAATAGCCTCTTGTAGAATGGGCAAGGGGTTCACACAAAGTTGCGACGTGTCGAAGTCATACGGCGCTGGCAGCATGTCAAACAGCTTCTGGAGGACACACTTGGTGCCCTGCTTCTCTTCAGAGTTCAAACAGTAGTCTAAGAGCAAAGGTTGCTTTCGAATCAATGTGAAGTACAGTGTGGCGTTTTTGCAAATATAGTCCTTCAAACCTGCTTTACTGCTGCAAATCTCAACGGCGGTGGTGTTCATAAAATATTCTGCCTTCCAGTTCGAGTAATCACAGTTGTCTTTGGGGGCCCCATGAGAGTGATTAGGGGTGACTTTGGAGCAGTACTCGGCTGCCCAGCTCCCATCTTGAGGTATTTGAGACGAATCATTTCCGCACAAAGAGGCAATAAGGGCTGTGTTATTGGGCAGAAAACACCTTCTAAAATCCTGGGCAGTTAGAGTTTTGCTGCTTAGCAGTGCTAAGCAGTCCTCAGTGGTGTCTGGAGGAGATCCCCCAGAAACATCATTGGAGAGTTGAAGACAGAGGTCATCAATACTTGATTGGTTGAGGTACTGGTAATCCCTTGTAGCTTCTGCCTGAGACAGTACAATACAGAGCTTTAATCCAATAGTTAACTCAAAAATGAAAATTCTGTCATCATTCACTCATCCTCCTCAATCCAAACTACGAAACTTTGGTTTATCTTTGAAACACAAAGAAAGATGTTTTTAATGAAACCTGAAAGGGTTTCTGTCCCTAGATTGAAGTCAAGGTAATTAAAATGTAGAAGCTCCAAAAAGTTAATGTCAATGTCAATTTTATTTATATAGCACTATTAAACACAACCGTGGGTTGACCAATGTGCTGCACAATAAAAACATTTTAATAAGACAATACAAAATCATAAAGGAGTTCATTAAAAAAATCCATATGAAGAGTCCTTGTGAAGAGACACAAAAACTTAATATAATTAGCCAAATTAATTTAGCTTTAATTCACATATAAACACATATACAGAGCACACCACATATGGTAAATATGGCGGGTCGTGTGCGTCACGCATTAGAAAAAAATCAGATTGGTTCTCATGCGTCGTACACGTATATTCAAGCTTCTGTGGTTACCTTACATAATGTGCTCTTTGTATGTGTGTCGATCATTGTTTAAAAGTAAATGAAATCTTTTAATTGTGAAATAAACCATGCGATTCACATGGATGCATTTTTAAAATGCCTTTTTGAAATTTTTGAATCTTCTAAATTTTGGTTACCTGGACTTTCAAAGGAGGGACAGAAACCTCTAAGGTTTCATTAAAATGATCTTAATTTGTGTTTCGAATATTAAGTCTTGGGTTTGGTGAGTAAATGATGACAGAATATTAATTTTGGGTGAAATAACCTTTTAATATTTTCATAGAAACAAACAAAAAGTAACTCGATGTACCTGATGTGCATGTTGAAGCCAGAATGTAGAGTTGGCACACACTGTTTTGTTAAACTCGTGAGCGAAGAATTCGCTGCAAACGTGTACCCAAAGAAAATCTTCCTCTGCTGCTGAGAGGTACCAAGCAGCGTCGGAGCAGGTCGCGTGCAGGTCTACCCCAAAATGGTTGACTTCAGGGTCCTGTGAGCCATTCTCTCCATCGAAAATATTACAGTAGAGAAAGACAGTGAAATTCGAGACGCCAGTGAGACCAGGGATAGAGGCATTACAGGCAGCTTCCAGAATCTCTGCTGAGGGTGAGGGGTCTGAATCACTCTGCTCATGGACTTTTGGCTGGGACTGGTGAAGTTTAGGTCTTCTAGATGAGTGCTGAGGTTTCAAAGTCCTTGTTTCCTCCTCTGTAGAGGGGCAGGTCATCAAAGACGGCCTGCTGGGTAAACCATCTGGCCTGAAACCCATCGCTTGAGCGTTCCATGTCAAGTTATGTCTAATTCCCCTGTACAAAGAGGACAACAAAACTGTTCATTTACAATCATCTTTACTATACACTTATAGTGTAATAATTTAAAGTCTTGCTGATTCATGACACTTACCACAATATTAACTGCCTGAGGTCACCTTTACAAAGAAACAAAAGTCAATGGAAAAGTTCTGGGTGAATAGTTATATACAAATCACAGATGATCGCAGAACACTGTTGATTAATTGAGGAAAATGGAGAGCCAGCCCCTGTATTATACAATTGGCCTTGATGTAACAGCATAGCTGGGCACATAATACCAGTGGTATATGGTTACCGACATAAAAGAAACAGGAGATTATCCAGGCTATAGGATTTAGAGCTACAAAGATCTGGTTCATGACTAGCAATGCCATTGAGATTTCAGTCAGAGTTGTGCGCCATTCAGAATTAAATTGAGAATGACATTTAAAATCTAACTTCTTCATTTGAACAGAATTGGCAATGGATGGATGGAAGGACAGAATGACAGACAAGATAAATAAAATTGTAGAATGATAGATAGAACGATCGATAGAACGATAGAACGATAGATAGATAGAACGATAGATAGATAGATAGATAGTGTGGCGAGGGGGGCGTGGTTTAGCGGAGTCTGCAGTGGGAGAGAGCGGTCGGAGACGAGCGGTGAGTAAGTAGGTCAGGTGGCTGGAACCCCTCTTGTTTGCTGTGCGGGAGGTCCCCCAAGCCTCCACGGGGTTCTCCCCCTTTGAGCTTCTCTATGGGCATCAGCCCCGCGGGGTGCTAGATGTCCTGAGAGAAACTTGGGAGGACGGACCTTCAGAAAGCCAAAATTAAATTCAATACGTGCTGGACCTGAGAACTAAACTCCACACCTTGGGGCGGCTGTCGACGGAGAATTTGTTACAGGCCCAGGACAGGCAGAGCCGGCTGTACAACAGGGGGGCCGGGCCGCGTAAATTTGCTCCGGGAGAGAAAGTGCTTGTATTGCTCCCTACATCTAGCTCTAAATTACTCGCCAAGTGGCAAGGACCCTTTGAGGTCACACGGCGAATTGGGGATCTTAATTATGAGTTAATTCGGACAGATAGGAGTGGGGCACGTCAGATTTATCACCTCAACCTCCTAAAAAAATGGAGTGAGGCGGAGTCAGTGATGCTACTATGGAGTGAGGCTTCCACTTGGGCCACGGGCAGGTGCGTCCCCAAATTAGTAAGACGGCAGCGGTTGCGACCTGCCCGAGACCCAAGACCAAAAATGAGGTAAGGCAGTTCCTGGGGCTGGCGGGATATTACAGAAGGTTTGTACCTAATTATTCGGACCTCACCAGCCCGCTGACTGACCTTACTAAAAGGGAAGCCCCAGACCCGGTCCAGTGGACGGAGCTGTGCTAGCAGGCTTTCACCCAGGTAAAGGCTGCTCTGTGAGGCGGACCGCTTCTGCACTCTCCTGATTTTTCTCTCCCCTTCTTGCTGCAGACGGACGCATCGGACAGGGGGCTTGGAGCGGTCCTGGCCCAGGAGATAGAGGGTGAGGAACGGCCGGTGCTGTACATCAGTCGTAAGCTCTCTGGTGGTTTAGCGTGGTTTAGCGGAGTCTGCAGCGGAAGAGAGCGGTCGGAGACGAGCGGTGAGTAAGTAGGTCAAGTGCATGATGACATTCACCTGCTTCTCGTTTCAGTGATTGGCCTGGAGAGATCGTAAAAAGCCTCAGGGGGAACAGAGAGGGAGAGAGACAGACTGAGGACTCGTGTGGGAGAGACTGTGGCCTGGGCATAGAGATACGCAGAAGTGCTATATAAGTTTTGTTTGTTTTGCAGTGCCAGAGTGCCTGCTTGTATTCGCTGTTCCTACGGGACGCTTAATAAATTACCCGAGCCTCAGTCACGCTGACTCCAACTTCTTCCTTCCCTTCTAAAGAACCTCATTACAGATAGATAGATAGATAGATAGATAGATAGATAAATAGATAGATAGATAGAACAATGGATGGATGGATGGATGGGATGACAAAGATAGAACAGTAGAACAATAGAATGATAGAACGATAGATGGATGGATGGATGGATAGATAGATGAATGATGGATGGCTGGATGGATGGGATGACAAAGATAGAACAGTAGAACAATAGAATGATAGAATGATAGATGGATGGATGGATATCCTTCCCTTCAGATAAATAGATATATAGATGGATGGATAGATAGATAGATAGATAGATAAATAGATAGATAGATAGAACAATGGATGGATGGATGGATGGGATGACAAAGATAGAACAGTAGAACAATAGAATGATAGAATGATAGATGGATGGATGGATGGATAGATAGATGAATGATGGATGGCTGGATGGATGGGATGACAAAGATAGAACAGTAGATAGATAGATAGATAGATAGATAGATAGATAGATAGATAGATAGATAGATAGATAGATAGATAGATAGATAGATAGATAGATGGATGGGATGACAAAGATAGATATATATATAGATAGATAAATAGATAGATAGATAGATAGATAGATAATTTCCCAGAATGCATTATTGTGTTGAATTTCTTTGAATTGCAGTTCAGTAAATTTGTTTTCCTGACGTTCCAATTTAAATGAGTGATACAGATAAACCATTATATGAGTTATGCAGGTTAGTGTTTAAAGTAGCAGTACTCTACTTGCCTACAGAACATCTTCCCTGGTGACTGTACTGTGGTTCGCCCACCATGCTGCTGACATCATCCAGCAGTGCCTTGGTCATATGTGACACTTTTCTTCTCAGATTACTATACACGCTGCGGCCAACATTGTGCAGAAATCCATGTCTGAGGTTATCCAAGCCCTGCAGGAGGGCAGGATTACGCTCCGCGAACTGTATTGCCCTTTCTCCTGCGCTTGACCTCGACAAAGCCTGAAGAAGCAGAGCCTGCATAGAAGCAAGGCTCTCCGAATCAGTGCCCGATTGGTTCAACAAGAGCTGCTCCTCACGAAGCACCTCAGGTGGCACGAGGAAGGGTTTAAAACGTCCCGAAGAGAGTGCGGCATCTCTTTGATTGTTTTCCACACTCACAGGGTGCAGACTGACCACAGGTTTCCAGTTCCTGGTCTCCATAAAGCTGATGAGCTGCTCAAGCCAGCTCAGGTTGAAGGCACAATCATTTCGTCCTTTAAGGACACAGATGAAACCCTGGAGACCTGCGGCGGCCTGGCCGTACGTCCCACTGACCAGAGCTTGAAGAACAGTTTCGAGCAAAGCGCTGATAGTCTTCCAGTTCTGGGAAATGAAAGTCAAGATGGGTTTTTGGGGCTGACGTTCAGTGAGGGTTAAAATGCTTTGCACCAGCCTCAGAAGTCCATCCCAATGTGGGCTGCCCCGGAGCGACAGAAACAGATCCTGAAGCCTGAAAGTGGGTCGCGGAGGACTCTTCTCATCCCATAATCCGAGCGACACTTCCTTTCCGGTCTGAAGAAGAGAGTAGAGCAGGTTTTCCCAAAACTGGTCATCACCAAAAGGTTGCTGCCGATCATCTAATTCTGCACTCATCTCTTGCAGATACATGGAGATGTTATACAGGAATCCCGAGAGCCTGTTTCTATCGAAGGCTTTGTTTAAAGACGGGAGACTCTTGCTTTTCCTTGGCAGGACACCTAGAGATTTGAGGTCTCCCATGATGCTCCTCACTATGGAATGAATTTGTCGATCTTTCTGTCTTTCTGCTGGTGGTTGTACTCTGTGTGGGTTCCATCCTCCACCCTTCCTCCATATCTCAACAAGCTCTTTCAAAATCGCCTCCTTCTGGTCCTCTTTATTGCTCGCTAAAATGAGAGAAACATTGATAGAAGTTAGAGTGTGAAACAAATTGAGTCATTGTACAAACAACAACAGGAACAGCCAGTATTGTCTTACCTCCAGCAATGGCTGATAGTTGTTCCAGTATAAGCAAAATCACTACAATTCCCAACTTGCCCATCCTAAGTTCCATTGCCTCAAGGTAGAATGGACAAAGTCATTTTGTTGTCTTTGTAAGACAGCATTTGAGTTCCTTTAGGAGCTGACGGAGACATTCAGAGCGTAAAGTGTCAGACTGTGGAGTGCACATGAAATCTTAATGACTATCCACTGTCACTTGGCTAAGCTTTCACAAAGAAAAGTTTGCCACTTTCTAAACTATACAATAGGGTTTGTTTGTTTTTTCAGTTAGAGAGAAAAAAATCTCACCTGAATTTCTCAGGTTTATCTTTAAAAAATACATTTAAATGCTACAACTAAATTTGGATTTCATGCATTCATTAAAAACTGCAAATTAGACTAAAACTTACCTATATGCATCTTTTCTCAAAAAACAAAACATAAAATTCAGGCATTTGTAATATACTAAGAAATCAAAGGATTTTTAGTACTTACAAGAAGTTGCATCCCTTTAATCCCGTAAGTATCTATGAAAATAGGATTGTGCATGAGTGTGAGCAAATTATTTCTCTGTCCTTCTCTCTACATCCTTCTCTCTCAGCATTTGTCACTTTTTGATCCGCTCCCCCTCCCAGTCTTTGAGATTCAATTGGATCCTCAAAAGCCACAGCTTCATGTTTCAGCGACATCGTCCCGTCATGTGCCAGCTGACTGTGTGCTGGAGTGAGAGGCCAGAGGCTCAGGGATGTAATATGAGAAAAGAGAAAGGCCAAGGAACTTTAAGAGGGTATACTCTTGTATCACAAGGCAATTTCATAGTAATTAAGATGAAAGGAGTTACAAAGGTAGGTCATTACTTTCGACTGAGGCTAAAACAGGGTACAGTAGATATACAATAGATAAAGCACTTTCAGATAATGCTGCATAATAAACAATCAATTGTATAATCATTCTTTCAAAGTCTTCTGATGGAAATGTTGTATCATGTATGGTGATGTTTGAGAATTATTTATACACTACAGTATATGTAAATCTATAATATCATAGTATTTATTAATATTTTGAATATATCATTCATTTTCATTTTAGCCATTGTTATGTGCTTTTGTCATTTCTATTTGTTATTTTGTATTTCTATTTAGCTTTAATTTATTATTTATTATTATAATTGTATTATTATTTTAGTTTTAGGCATTTTTAAACTTCAACTTATTTTACTTCAATTAGTTGCCAAGGCAACATGTCTAATTTTCAGTTTTATAATAACACTTACCACCAGTGTTATTTCAGTATTTTTATACTATTTTTTATACTATACGTATACTATTACATTATTTAATAATGTTTTGTATTAGCTTTTTCATTATTTTGTTTCATTTTATTTAAACTTTTAATTATTTAGTTTTTGTCATTTTTATTCAGTTTTTTTATATTTCTACTTAGCTTTTTTATTTATTTCAATTTGAGTTTAGGTATTTAAACTCTAACTTATTTTAATTCATATAATTTCCAGGGCAACACTTCTAATTTCATTCTATTGTAGTACTTATTGTTTACTTATTATTGTTTTGAATTTGAATACATTTTTAAATTATTTTTTTTTATTTTAATTTTAGTTCAAGTTTTTGTTTTGTTATGTGCTTTTGTCAATTTATTAGGTTTTTGTTTTATATTTCTACTTTTTATTTCAGTTTAAACTTATTTTAATTCAGTTTAGTTGCCAAAGCAACACTTCTAACTTTTAAGTATTGCATCTAATTTTTGTATTTTATTTCAATTAAACAAAAAAAGTTAAAAAAAATTCCTCAAAGGCTTGCATAAAGCGCTTAATCAGAATTTAATCACTATGAGCCCTACTTTATTCTTCAATCTGACATCTCATGAGGTCATTTTCACCTGTGCCAACACTGACATAAAACGGTACCCTTGTCCTGGTGGGTATTGTTTTACCTATGTGGCAGCCAGCAGGTCGCCTACAGCTGTCATAAAACAAAAGTGTCCCTTAGCCACCGTCAGCACACAATCAGGCCCTTTACTGATGTTCAAAATCATCTCGCTCTTGTCTGAGGCCTGTCTACAGCAGCTGAAACCCGAGTGGATTGAGTGAAAGGCCTAGCACAGCCTCCCCACAAGCCTTTTAATTCTGTGTTGCTGTCGCCTGCAGCGGAACAATAACTTCCTCTTGTATTATTGATGCCTGAGGGAGCGGCGGTCACTCGGCAGCATCGAGCTCAGTTGGCTGCAGGAATATTAAATGAGAAACTTTACTCCTCATGCCTCTGACTAACTCTACTCAAATCACGCACAGCGGTGAGCTTGTTTGTTATCTCTGACATGCATATGACTAAACTATGTTCAAAAATACAGTTAAGGAAAAAATCTTAGGTGCTGTCTGACTGGATAACTGTGAATTGTATATGAAAACAGTCAAAGGAGCTCACTGACCCAATGTAGACAAACTCCAGACATGAGCCTTAGCTTAAGTCTGTCTCAACTTATAAAGGCATGTGAGACGAAACACAGTACCAAAGCATCTGGTCCAGTGCAACATACATGATACATGATTTTGCATTTCATTGCCCCCCAAAATAATGTCTTGTTAGACATACAGTATGTACGCTACATATATATTTACTCACCAAACATTTTTAGGCCCTTATTTTCACACCTCTGAATCATTCTTCTCTGTCTGGTTGAGACAATTAATTCCTGCGTACCTAAAATAATACTATAAAAAAGTATTTTAAGAACCATTTGTTTCAGTGGGGGAAAAAGACTAGCAATCCACATGCTTATAGTAGCCTATATATATATATATATACACACAGGTGCATCTCAATAAAATTAGATTGTCGTGGAAAAGTTCATTTATTTCAGTAATTCAACTCAAATTGTGAAACTCGTGTATTAAATAAATTCAATGCACACAGACTGAAGTAGTTTAAGTCGTTTCTGAATGATTCAGTAGTGTCTTTTGAGCAGTTACAGATTTAAGGAATGATTCAGTGATTCATACATGAAGTTCCGTTTCTGGATAAAACAACAGTAACGAACCGTTTAAATGAACGATTCAATGACTCACTCATAAAGATTCATTCTTAAACGAGTCAATCAACGTTCTGAACAAATCGGTCGAATGACTCACTCGTAAAAACAGTCACTTGTCGCCACCTACTGGTGTGTCGATGTAAAACGATCACGTGGATCAGTGGTTCTCAGTTAAAATGCTTAAAATGCACTGTACCTAAAAGTTAAATAAAACTGTACTGTACTTAAAAAGTAAAAAAAAAAAAAAAAAACTGTACTGTACTGTACTTAAATGTAAAGTAAAAAAAATGTATAGTACTTGATCAAAAAACTTTAACACAGGCGTCGTTTAGCCACCTTGCAAACTTTTAAAATGTGTTTTAACACTTTTATATTAATTTATAATTTAATTTATGTTTAATTCAGTGATTCCTCTGCGTACCACTGAAGGAAGCCCGCACTTTGGGAGTCAGTGACATAGATTATTCACAGCCTGACAGTCTGTCTGGTGAAAAGTCTCAGCGCTGTTGAAACGCTGTAAAAAAATAAATAAATAAAAATACATTTATTATCGGCCTGAGGAATGGGAAAGGACTGGTCAGCCGGGCTGGTCAGGAGTAAAAGATAAAGAATAAAATATTAAAAGTAGGCTACTATTGAAAGAACACTGTAACTCAACCAGACTTCCCAGAAACTGCTCTAGTAAAATAATTAAATAAAATAGAAACCAACCCCCCCACCCCACAGTCACAAGGCAGTCATGTGCGGGTCTATGTGGGTTAGTCACACCGGGAACCGCAGCTCTATGCCATGCAGTCAGAACTAACTAAACACCCTGCATTGAAGTAACATATGATTCCCACAGGGGGCGCTCAGTGGCTCAAAAAATACAAAATAGACTCTTGTCTTTAAACACGTTCGGATATTTTATTCTAGACGTTAGTCTATTAATAATCTCACTTTGTTTCAAAAATAGTAAATATATTTACGGAAATGTTGATATTTCAGTAGCGTTAGTTGCTAAGTTTGGGCGTCGAGCGAGCAAATCAAGCCGGAAGTAGACGTCATAGCGCAAGGGGCGGAGCGAACGACTGACAAACTGCTGCAGTAGCGAGCGAGCGACATGATCAGAATGAACCTCTGTAAACTATCATAAACTACAAATCATGGGGTTCATCTTTCAAAGACAGCGCTCTATATCGAAACATTTACATATATTTTACTAACCAGTGTTTGACTGAGGCGTCTGTCCTCTCTCGCTAGTTTCAAAAAAAATTAATTTATGGCCGCTATGGATTACCTGCTGCAGGTGAAAGTTGGAGCTCTGGTTGGGCTGCTGATCCTAACTCTGTTTTTTGGGTTTATCCCAGCGCGGATGAAATGGTTTCAAGTCTCTAGTGGAACAGGTAAATGATCATTTACGTTTTTTATGGTGGGCATCAATTTTACTGTACTACATGTGATCTTTTCAGTCATCTGTCGCCTCCTCTCAGCCTAAGCATGTTTATTTACTGTATGTATACATTATTATGTCCTGCCTCTGCTCGTTATTTGTGTTTAAGAATGTATGTTCATGTATGTATGTGCTTAATGTACTGTATATGTGTACCACATATAAGGAATTTGCCCAGTCTTGGCTTCATACACGTACAAACACATGAGAGTCAGGTGATAAGGACAGCTAGAGGATTTTTTCTAAAACATGCATTTTACTCACAGATGGACATCAGTGGAAGTGAAACTGGTGTCTGAACATGCTTAAACAAGCAAAAACCTCTGCAAAACATGAATTATGACCACAACGATCAGAAACAGCCTAAGGATTTTACGAACAATCAAATATATGTACACTCTAAAAAATGCTGGGTTAAAAAGGGACAAACCCAGCTATTGGGTTGTTTGCTCAGTGGCTCAAAAAATACAAAATAGACTCTTGTCTTTAAACACGTTCGGATATTTTATTCTAGACGTTAGTCTATTAATAATCTCACTTTGTTTCAAAAATAGTAAATATATTTACGGAAACGTTGATATTTCAGTAGCGTTAGTTGCTAAGTTTGGGCGTCGAGCGAGCAAATCAAGCCGGAAGTAGACGTCATAGCGCAAGGGGCGGAGCGAACGACTGACAAACTGCTGCAGTAGCGAGCGAGCGACATGATCAGAATGAACCTCTGTAAACTATCATAAACTACAAATCATGGGGTTCATCTTTCAAAGACAGCGCTCTATATCGAAACATTTACATATATTTTACTAACCAGTGTTTGACTGAGGCGTCTGTCCTCTCTCGCTAGTTTCATTTTTTAAAATTAATTTATGGCCGCTATGGATTACCTGCTGCAGGTGAAAGTTGGAGCTCTGGTTGGGCTGCTGATCCTAACTCTGTTTTTTGGGTTTATCCCAGCGCGGATGAAATGGTTTCAAGTCTCTAGTGGAACAGGTAAATGATCATTTACGTTTTTTATGGTGGGCATCAATTTTACTGTACTACATGTGATCTTTTCAGTCATCTGTCGCCTCCTCTCAGCCTAAGCATGTTTATTTACTGTATGTATACATTATTATGTCCTGCCTCTGCTCGTTATTTGTGTTTAAGAATGTATGTTCATGTATGTATGTGCTTAATGTACTGTATATGTGTACCACATATAAGGAATTTGCCCAGTCTTGGCTTCATACACGTACAAACACATGAGAGTCAGGTGATAAGGACAGCTAGAGGATTTTTTCTAAAACATGCATTTTACTCACAGATGGACATCAGTGGAAGTGAAACTGGTGTCTGAACATGCTTAAACAAGCAAAAACCTCTGCAAAACATGAATTATGACCACAACGATCAGAAACAGCCTAAGGATTTTACGAACAATCAAATATATGTACACTCTAAAAAATGCTGGGTTAAAAAGGGACAAACCCAGCTATTGGGTTGTTTTGACCCAGCGGGTAGGTTGTTTTGACCCAGCGGGTAGGTTGTTTTGACCCAGCGGGTAGGTTGTTTTGACCCAGCGGGTAGGTTGTTTTGACCCAGCGGGTAGGTTGTTTTGACCCAGCGGGTAGGTTGTTTTGACCCAGCGGGTAGGTTGTTTTGACCCAGCGGGTAGGTTGTTTTGACCCAGCGGGTAGGTTGTTTTGACCCAGCGGGTAGGTTGTTTTGACCCAGCGGGTAGGTTGTTTTGACCCAGCGGGTAGGTTGTTTTGACCCAGCGGGTAGGTTGTTTTGACCCAGCGGGTAGGTTGTTTTGACCCAGCGGGTAGGTTGTTTTGACCCAGCGGGTAGGTTGTTTTGACCCAGCGGGTAGGTTGTTTTGACCCAGCGGGTAGGTTGTTTTGACCCAGCGGGTAGGTTGTTTTGACCCAGCGGGTAGGTTGTTTTGACCCAGCGGGTAGGTTGTTTTGACCCAGCGGGTAGGTTGTTTTGACCCAGCGGGTAGGTTGTTTTGACCCAGCGGGTAGGTTGTTTTGACCCAGCGGGTAGGTTGTTTTGACCCAGCGGGTAGGTTGTTTTGACCCAGCGGGTAGGTTGTTTTGACCCAGCGGGTAGGTTGTTTTGACCCAGCGGGTAGGTTGTTTTGACCCAGCGGTTGGGTCAAAACAACCCAACCGCTGGGTCAAAACAACCCAGCCGCTGGGTCAAAACCACTGGGTCAAAACAAACCAACCGCTGGGTCAAAACAACCCAACCACTGGGTCAAAACTGCTGGGTCAAAACAACCCAACCACTGGGTCAAAACCGCTGGGTCAAAACAACCCAACCGCTGGGTCAAAACCGCTGGGTCAAAACAACCCAACCGCTGGATGTGGATTTCACACGGTTATTAGGCTAGTTATCAGGTTTTCAGTTGAGTTAAATGTCATCAGTGCTTTGGATAGATAGTTTTGAAATTGTAGGGCTCTGCTTTATCAAGTGGCTTAATGCAATTACAGTTATACCTGATACATTAGGTTGTGGCATGGGTAAATAAAATGCTTATGCATTGCTCAGTTACGATGAGTTTTTCATTATTTTCGGGCATTTGATTATAATCTCTTTTACTTTGGATGATTAGCTAACAGGAGTGATTAGAGAAAGACTGTACCATTGACATCAATCAACGGCACCATTAATCAATGTAACAGGACTTTGATTTGTTTTTCTCTGTCTCCAGTGACCCACAGGGCCGTGCTGAGTTTTGTGAGCTGCTTCGCGGGTGGCGTCTTCCTGTCCGCCTGTTTGTTAGATATCATCCCAGATTACCTTTCCGACATACATGAAGAGCTACAAAAGCAAGGCCTTGATGTGAGCTCACCGAATATTGGAATTGCTCTGTTAAATGCAGTCTGTTCCTGTAATTCCTATTTGTTTCTAATGCCACTTCTCCTCATCATCCAGGAAGGCTTCCCGCTTGCAGAGTTCATCATGGCGTGTGGCTTCTTCACAGTCTTGATCTTGGAAAAGATAGTTCTGAGTTGCACAGAGGGCCACAGAAATGAGGAGACGGCTCCTCTTTTAGCTCCTGCAGGTAACGGACATGCCCATGGACATCCCTCGCTGAATGATCTGGAGGGGAGCGGTCACCACGTCCACGTGGATTTTCACGCGCACTCGTCCTTCCGCTCCTTCATGCTCTTCCTGTCTCTCTCTCTCCACTCGGTGTTTGAGGGTTTGGCCATTGGCTTGCAGACCACAGACACGAAGGTGATTTATTGAGTTTTGTTTTGTTTGACAGCTCCCTCTTGAGTCACTGTGCTGACCTGGTTAGAAACCTGATAAAAGTTTTGGGTTCAAAGGTTTACAGGTTAAATGTTTAGCATCGTGACTTCAAATCATGCTGTTTATGTAGGGTGTTATCCTGTGATGCCAAAACACTTTAAATTCACTAAACACTTTAAAAATGTTAAAGGGGAGGGTTCACCCAAAAATGGACATTTTCATTATTTACTCACCCTCGTGTAGTTCCAAACATGTTTTTTCTGTGGAACACAAAAGAAGATATAAATGTAAAGTCCGTTTTAATAACAGAAAACAGGGCTACACAATTTGCAAAACATCTAATAGCGATTTTATTCATATGTGACCCTCTCTGTGAAATCCAGGCTAAAGTCTCAAAATCTAATTATGAGATAACAAGCATCAGAGTTTGATTTCAACCATTAATTTCACTATGATTTCAATCTTTGACATGGCCTTACTCAGTCAATATTAAAGATGTAAAGGTTACATTTTCACTGAATGTTCTTTGCCTTATGAAGGATGATTTTATGTAGAAAACCAGTGTCACATATTTTCTCTCTTTTTTTGTGATTTTAAAATGCAGTTTAAAAAAAAGCTATGCTTGCTTGTAGAGCTGCACAATTTGGCCACAATTTTGTTTTTATATATCAATGTGACTATAAAATTATTAGTAATGATAATTATTATTACTAAAAAGTTTTTTAACAAAATAAGGAAAGCTACTATTGTAATATTTCACTATAAAATAAAAAAAAAGTTAAGTGATTAAGAAAAATTATATGATATCATTATTAAACAATTTCAAACAAAATAAGAAACGTTACTATTGTAAAAAATCAGAATAGCTTCATTTTAAATGGGAAGCGTGTTAAAATTAGTGCTTGGTGACTTCAGCAAAAAAGTAAAGTTGTTTCATTGACTTACATTTACATGAAGGCTTGTGAAGACCATTTTGCTTTTTTTGGAATAATGCACAACTGTAATACATGTAATTGGAATAATGTAATGATGAATATAACCTAGTTTGACTTCACTCGTCTCTCTGCTCAGGTGCTGGAGATCTGCATCGCTATCCTGGTCCACAAGAGCATCATTGTCTTCAGTCTGTCTGTGAAGCTGGTTCAGAGTGCGGTCAGGCCCCTGTGGGTGGCGCTCTACGTGGCCGTCTTCGCTGTGATGTCTCCTCTCGGCATTAGCATCGGCATCATTGTGATCGAGGCTCGGCTGAAGGCTGGCGCTTTGATCCAGGCGGTGCTGGAGGGGCTGGCGGCCGGGACGTTTGTCTACATCACCTTCCTAGAGATCCTTCCCCATGAACTGAACTCCCCTGAGCGGCCTCTGCTCAAAGTGTTCTTCCTCCTGTGTGGTTTCTCAGTAATGGCTGCTCTGAGTTTCCTGGGCTGAACAATACTTTGCATTTTTTGGTGCCCCGTGGCCAGAAAACTGGAACCTTCACAAACTGCATGTGATTTCAAGGAAACGAAAGGCTCATTTTGCTTGTTTTTTTTAGAGGAACTGATATTTACAAGCACAAAGATGCTGATGTCTTTAAAAACTTTGACCAGATCATTTATTAGTTTTAAATGAGGAAAAAAATTAATTTTCCTCAGCACTGAGAAACATAGTATCTGACATGTAAATGGAGTCTTTTACAGATTTAAAAAAAAATTTTTTTTATTGAACTTGTTTTAGCCTTTTCAAACTCTTCATATTTTATCTGGGGAATTGTTTCCATGCCACGTTTGCGTTTTCTCTTTGTCATGCATAACACTATCTTAAAACCACCAGCTGTCTGACTGATTTTAAATGTTTTAAATCAATTATTCATCTTTATACATTATGAACACTGACTGCAATATTTCTGTATGTTACATACAGTTATTCAGTATTGTTTTTTTCCTTTTATGTGCTGCATTTCCTGTACATTTACATAAATTCGATGGGCAGCCAAATGTTTTGATTGCACAGTTTGGATTTACAGATTTCACAGTAAAATCAGACAAAATGTGTATAACTAGTATTGTGTTTTTTAAAGACCACGTGTGTATATGTTCCATAGTCATATGAAAGTATGATTATGCAACATATTAAAGCAATATAAATATATTTTCATTTCAAACTAATGGAAATAGCATGCCGTTTTAGTTGAGAAGCGTTTCTGTGCCTTTATTTGAATGAAAACTAGCAAATTGCATGTTACTGATTCAGGTGATTAAAAGCCTTTTACTAAACTAGCACTAAATCCTTTCTAAAGTTCATGTTTAAATATATTAAGAGACATTACTGGACATCATTTAGTTTGCTTTCTGTTTCAATATGCTCTGTCTGGTGTAGTAAAAAGCAAAGTGTGATTTTGATATGAAACATTGTTCAAACTTCAGACTTGATCTTGCAGTACCGCATTTAGCCTCTAGATGTCAGGCTTCTACGCAATGTTGGTAAAGTATTGACTATCTTTGAAACGCCATACTACTTGGTACTGTTTTTGCAGTATGTGCATTTTTAGTATAGAGTTCCTATATGAGTTCAGAGCACAAGTGCATTAGAAAATGTATCCCACAATGCAGTGTGCTCAAACGTCCTTTTCCAGTGTAATATTACGATCTCTAGGCTCATTTAATCAAGCTATACCCTGGCATTTGTACACAAAACTGGAATAGAAATGCAAAATTTTTATATTCCAGATGATAACTGGACACCACTAACTGAATTGTTGTTTAATTGAGGTCATCTCACTACTGCTTACAGCATATACAGTGGGTACGGAAAGTATTCAGACCCCCTTAAATTTTTCACTCTTTGTTATATTGCAGCCATTTGCTAAAATCATTTAAGTTAATTTTTTTTCCTCATTAATGTACACACAGCACCCCATATTGACAGAAAAACACAGAATTGTTGACATTTTTGCAGATTTATTAAAAAAGAAAAACTGAAATATCACATGGTCCTAAGTATTCAGACCCTTTGCTCAGTATTTAGTAGAAGCACCCTTTTGATCTAATACAGCCATGAGTCTTTTTGGGAAAGATGCAACAAGTTTTTCACACCTGGATTTGGGGATCCTCTGCCATTCCTCCTTGCAGATCCTCTCCAGTTCTGTCAGGTTGGATGGTAAACGTTGGTGGACAGCCATTTTTAGGTCTCTCCAGAGATGCTCAATTGGGTTTAAGTCAGGGCTCTGGCTGGGCCATTCAAGAACAATCA